CTGCTCTCCCTTGCAGGGGACATGGTGTTCCAGCACCGGGAGCCGCTGATCCGGGCTTTCCTGCGGGGTGCCCGGGATCCCGACAGTGCCCTGCGGGCCAGCAGCCTCTCCAACCTGGGGGAGCTCTGCCAGCACCTCGGCTTCCAGCTGGGCTCCATCATCCAGGAGGTACCGGCTCCATCCTTTCCCTGACCCTGCCTGGGGAGAATGGGATCTCTCCTTACAGCGTTAGAGCACACGGTTGGGCTGCTGAGGACATGGGACATTTCCATAAAGGATGGGAGTGATAATTGCTGATATTGTGGAGGGTAAAAGTCATGGGGCCTGAAGGAAACACTAGGGAGATTCTAGCCCTGATTTTTAGGTGTCTGCTCCACCCATGGCAGCCACTGCAAGAGGAGACCTGGGGGCACAAGTGGTGCCTGCCAAAGACACCTCCCGCTTAATGACACCTTGTTACCCTCCCGTTATCTTAATTATCATTATCAGTATCATCAGTATCACGAGCTGGCCCTCACCCACCCCGGCTGCAGGCTGTGGGTGAGGTACAGCTGGGAGAGCTGCTGGGAGATCCCAGTGGGGTGAGCCCGATTCCCAGGGCCCAGCAGCCCTGGAACTGATGGGTCTGTGACCCGCAGGAGCCAGAGTTTTACCCTCCCCATGGTGCTTCTGGAGTGAGACATCATGGATTTGGCATTCGGGCTGCTCCCCTCGATTCCCGCTCGGCACCGGTGGATCCTGGCCGTTGATGTGATGCCAGTGAGCCACTCGCTGCTATTTTGGGAAGGTGTGAGCTCTGCTAATTCTCCCGGCTGTCACTGCCGGGATTTAATTAGATTCCTTTGGCTCTGCCTGATTTTCATCCAGACTGTTATACAGCTTCCTGAGGCATCCATGTGCCACCTGGCCCTGGTAGGAGCTGCTTGGAGCCTGCACCCCACAGGGCATGGGAGTCCCATCCTCATTCTTGGGACATTGCCAGCCCCTCAGTGGCTGCTCTGATGGGATTCCCTGCACCTCTGAGTCCTCACTGCCCTGTGCCCACAGGTCACCTGCTGTGTGACAGCCATAGCCCGGACAGACCCCGAGGCCGAGGTGCGAAGAGCCGCCGTACATGTGGTGGTGCTGCTGCTGCGGGGGCTGAGTGAGAAGGTCACTGAGGTGGGTCACCCTGCTCGTCCCTGGGGCAGGGACAGCCCCCAAGAGGCTCCTGGGCATCCCTTGGGGAGGGCCCTTGCTCTATAGGGGCTGCAGGGCTCATTCCCAAGCTGCTTCCGGGGAAAATCCCAAGGGATTTAGATGCCCAGTTTGGGCATTCCCCACTAAAAGGTTCCCTCAACAGATCCTGGGGAAGGGGGGCTTTGTGGAGGTGTCCCTCTGAGCTGCTGTGCTGTGCCATGGGCAGTGCCATGCCATGCTGGGGTCAGTGCCAGCTCTTGGGAGCTGTGGGAGTTGTTCGTCTCTGATTTGACTTGGAAATGCCCAGTTTTTCCACCACTGTGGCCTCCCTCCGCAATTCCCAGTAACGAGCGTGTTGGGACTCGGCTCCCGTGGAGGAAACAGCCAGTTCCCCACGGGAATCCCCGCAGCCAGGATCCCGGCATGCCCCGGTGCCCCCGTGCTGAAGGATCACCACAACGCGCTGCCGGCATGTGGGGAAACTGAGTCACGGGGGGCCGCGGCGCTCGGTGCCGCTCCTGCCGGGGCTCGCCGTGGGGCGGTGCTGACGCTGCCCCTGCCCGCCGTGCCCAGGTGCTGCAGGACGTGCTGCGGGACCTGTACCGCCTGCTGAAGCACGTGGTGACGGCCGAGCGCGACGCCGCCGCGGTGCTGCACGCGCAGCTGGCGCTGGAGGAGCTGGACACCGCCGTCAGGAGGGCCCTGTTCCCCCCACAGACGCTGGAAAAGAAGATCGTGGTGCTGCCATAGTGGGGCTGGGCCCCTGGAAATGAACTGTTCCTGCTCTGGGCTCAGGGCCAGTGGCTCCCCGAGGGAAGGGCTTGCTGTGCCCTCCAGGATCCTGCTGGCGGTGTCGATGGGGAGGGAACCTCGCTGGCACGAGGTGTGGGATTAAACAGAGACATGCTCAGCCCTGTGTCTGTGATGTCTGTGGGGCCACACAAAGCTCTTGGGTGCCATCAAAGCCATGTCCCAGCTCCTGTGTCCTGTGGAAGGGTGGGCATCAACCCTAGGGTTGGGGTTGGGCAAGCAGCTGGCAGGGCCTGGCTTCAGGCTCCCTTTGGCTAGGCAGCACCAAATGTGTGGCTGTCCCCGAGGGGCGTCAGGAGGGAGGGGGTCTCTGCTGTCTGCACCCCCAGAGTGCAATCCTTGACACTGTACTCACACCACAAGGATGCTGAAGGGTCTGGGGGCTCCCTCACCCCAGGGTCTGAGGATGGGTCCCTCTGGTGTGGCACCAAGAGCCTCTCCATGCTGAGGAAGGCCTAAGAGGCTTTACAGGGTACCTGGCTGGGACCACCACTCACCACCATGTGCTCACAGATACTCCAAGATCAGAGTCCCCATGAGTGCTGCAGCACCATGGGCCCCATTCCTGCACCCAGAGCTGCTGCACACCCACAGTGTGGGGGGAGCAGAGATCCTCAGGGACCCAGCTCGGTGGCTCCCTCACTCCCCTGGCACCAGGCAGCCTGGCCCCAATGTGAACAGCCCCAGGGGCCCATTTCCCAGCTGCCCTGTGTCCTGACAGATGCAGGGGCCCGGCACCCCCCTTCTCTGCAAGGTGGGGAGTCCTGTCTGTGCCTCCACCCGGTACCATGGCTTGCTGTGAGTGCACAAGCAGCCGGAGCCCATTCTCCTCACCCGAGAGTGCGTGGCCAAGCACTCCTCATCACTCCTGGCACTGCTGTCGGACCCCAGGCACGCGCTGGGATGCTGCCGACAGCTGTGCCTGTCCAGGGCCTGCTGTGAACGGTAGAGGAGGAATTTGGAATGAAAAGCCTCTTGATTTGATGCACTGGCTGGGCACTGCCCAGGCATCCTGCCTCCAGGAGCAGGAACGTGTCCTGCCGCTGGGAGCAAGGCAGCAGCTGTGCCAGAGGTGGAGAGAGTTTGGTTTCCACCTGGAGCAAAAAGTGAGGGATCCCTGATGAGGGCACAGGGAGGGCTGCAGACACCCTGTCCCCTGTCCCAGCACCGTGGTGGTGGCACGGGACCGCTGTGCCCCACCGTGGCTATGGGAGCCCCGCTGGTGGTGCCGAGGGTCCCGGTCCTTGTCCCATCCGTGGGTTCACCGGGTCCTCACCGCTCACTCCAGGCACTGGGGAAGCTCCCAGACAACATCACCACGGCCCCGGGGGTGTCGGAGAGGGGGATCCGCCTGCACGGGGTGCTCCTGCTGCAGGGATCCCCTCTCTCAGCTCCTGGTGCTTGGAGCCTCCGAGCCCAATCCCGGCATTACCTCGCACCCAGCTCCCGGCACAGCAGGACACGATCGGGGTGAGAAACCCAAAAGTGCTGAATTTGAGCCCCCAGTCGAGGCTGTGCCTCCGACAGACTCAGAACGGCCCCTCCAGGAGCCGGTTGTCCCCTGCCGTCAGTCCGGCACAGGGACAAAGTGCTGCTGTCCCCGGGATGACCCTGGTCCTGCCCCGGCACCCACCGGCCACGGGGACAGGGTGGCACGGGTGGCTTATGCCGCGGGGGGACACGGTGGCACAGGAAGATGACACGTGGGTGTCGTGAGAGGGGCCCCAAGAGCGGGGCGGGGGGAGATGGCGTGGCCGGTCCCTGCGCCGTGGCTCTGTGCCGGTGCCGGGTGATGGAGATGCCGGTTCCGGTGCAGCACCAGAACCGCCACCGGTGTCGCCGGTATCGCAGCTGTGCCGTGATGCCTGTGATGGTGCCAGTGTCGGTGCAGCACTGCTGCCGCTGCTGCCGGTGCCGCCGGTGCTGCCGGTGCCGCCGGCGCCGGTCATCACTCCCGCAGTGCGGGGCTGGGGCCGGTGCCAGGTGCTGGCGGTGCGGGGCGGGTTCCCGGGGGCTGCGGGCGGAGCTGGAGCCGGTGCCGTTGCTGGTGCCGGGGGCGGTGCCGGCGGTGCCGGTGCCGGTGCCGGTGCCGGGCGGGGCCCCCGCGGGCTGCGGGCGGTGCCGGCCCCGCCGCGGTATAAAGGGGCCGCACGGGCCGGGCCGGGCGCACAGCGGCGGCGGCGGGTGGGGAGCGGCGGCACCTCCACGGTGAGTCCCGGTCCCTCCCTCCCTCTCCCTCCCGGTCCCGCTGGTAGCGGTCTCGGGGTGCCCCCGCGGTGCCGTGAGACCGGCAGCGCAGGAGGCTGCGGGGCCGGGGGTAACGGGCAGTCGGGAGCGCCGGGGGCTGCGGGACCGGGAGGAGCCGGGAGCGCCGGGGGCTGCGGGACCGGGGAGAAGCCTGAGGGGGCTGCCCGGGAGGTGCTGCCGGGTGTCCCTGGGGCTCGCTCTGCGCCCTGCCCGCACCCCCGAACGTGCTCGTGCACCCCCGAGCTGCCCGCACCCCCTGCCCGCGCTCCCGGTGCAGCTCCGCAGTCCCGTCCTGCCCGCGCCGCTCGTCCCATCCCGCAGCGGGGCGGGGGTCTGGCTGCTGCCATCCCCGCAGCCGGGGGTCCCGCCGCACCCGCTCGGGGTGGAGGAGGGCTCCGGGCGGCCGTGATTTCCTGGGGGACACCCTGCTCCCTGACATCCCCGTGCCCTTCCCTGTCCTCCAGCCCTGCCTGCGAGCAGCCGTGCTCCTGCTTGGGTGGATGGGAGGTGCTGGCACCGTACGCGGTGGGGTACTTGGGACCCCTACACCTCGCCTGGCACCACGCACGGTGGGGTCTGTGGGATCCCCGCACCTCCTCTGGCCCCGTGGAGACGCTGGGAAGGTGTCACCCCCAAACCAGTGACCGGCGCAGCACAGGGTGGCCGTGGGGCAGCAGAGGAGCAGGGCCACCCCGCTTTTGCGTTCTTGATGACACAATGGGGAGGATGTCCTTCTGCCCTGATGGTGCCCCGTGTCCTCCCAGATGCCAGGGAGCCTCTCCACGGCCCTGCGTGTCGTGGGGACCAGCCTCTTCGCCGTGGCGGTGCTGGGGGGAATCCTGGCCGCCTACGTCACAGGGTACCAGTTCATCCACACAGAGAAGCACTACCTCTCCTTCGGGCTCTACGGGGCCATCCTGGGGCTGCACCTCTTCATCCAGAGCCTCTTCGCCTTCCTGGAGCACCGGCGGATGCGGGGCGAGGGGCAGCCGGTGCGGCCGGGGCGCTCGGTGGCCCTCTGCATCGCCGCCTTCCAGGAGGACCCCGACTACCTGACGAAGTGCCTACGCTCCGTCAAGCGCATCGCCTTCCCTGACCTCAAAGTGGTGATGGTGGTGGACGGGAATGGCCCCGACGACACCTACATGCTGGACATCTTCCACGAGGTGATGGGCTCCGAGCGCTCCGGCAGCTACATCTGGAGGAGCAACTTCCACGCGCAGGGCGAGGGGGAGACGGAGGCCGGGCTGCGGGAAGGGCTGGCCCGTGTTCAGGCGCTGGTCCGCAGCAACACCTACTCCTGCATCCTCCAGAAGTGGGGCGGGAAGCGGGAGGTGATGTACACGGCCTTCCGGGCGCTTGGAGACTCCGTGGACTATATCCAGGTGCATGCACGGGCTGGGGGGATGTGTGTGCGGTGAGCCCTGCCAGCGCGGCCGGGCTGAGGGGCTGTGGGTGGAACGGGAGCAGCCCCGGGAATCCTCAGTAGCTCCCGGGTGCCTGGCACCGGATCTGGCCCCACGCACCGGCCATGAGCCACCAGGGCTGGGGGCCACTGGCGCCGGGGTGGCTGAGGTGGTGAGCCCTGCCCGCACTGCTGCCCGTGGCTGTCCCATCACCTCCTCAGCACATGGCCTGCTATGGTGCCATCCCCTGGGACAGCGGGGCACGGGGTGCCAGGTCCCCACGTGTGACAGATCCTCCCTCAGTGGCAGCAGCCAGAGACGAGTGTCCTGGGCAGCGGTGCCCCGGTACCACCGAGCGCTCTGCTCCCTGCCATCGCCTGCCGGTCTCCGGGGCTCTGCCTGGTCTCGCCGTCCGTGGCTCGGGCTTGCCTGGCTGTGGGCTGGGCCGTCTGCCGGGCGCGCGTGGGCGGCGGGAGCGGGGCTCGACATTCCCTCTGCCCCCAGGTGTGTGACTCAGACACGGTGCTGGACCCCGCCTGCACCGCCGAGATGCTCCGCATCCTGGAGGCCGACCCCCACGTCGGTGGCGTCGGCGGCGATGTCCAGGTACCCTGGCACGAGGGAGGGCACGGCTGGGGGTTCCAGGGGGCTGCGGCACTGCCGGGGCTCACATCCATCCCCTCCCCAGATCCTGAACAAGTACGACTCGTGGCTCTCCTTCCTGAGCAGCGTGCGGTACTGGATGGCCTTCAACGTGGAGCGCGCGTGCCAGTCGTACTTCGGCTGCGTGCAGTGCATCAGCGGCCCCCTGGGCATGTACCGCAACGCGCTGCTGCAGCAGTTCCTCGAGGACTGGTACCACCAGACCTTCCTGGGCAGCAAGTGCAGCTTCGGGGACGACCGGCACCTCACCAACCGCGTGCTCAGCCTGGGCTACCGGACCAAGTACACGGCTCGCTCCAAGTGCCTGACGGAGACGCCCACGCGGTACCTGCGCTGGCTCAACCAGCAGACCCGCTGGAGCAAGTCCTACTTCCGTGAGTGGCTCTACAACGCGCTCTGGTTCCACAAGCATCACCTCTGGATGACCTACGAGTCCGTGGTCACCGGCTTCTTCCCCTTCTTCCTCATTGCCACCGTCATCCAGCTCTTCTACCGTGGCCGCGTCTGGAACATCCTCCTGTTCCTGCTGACCGTGCAGCTGGTGGGTGTCATCAAGGCCACCTACGCCTGCTTCCTGCGAGGCAACGCCGAGATGATCTTCATGTCCCTCTATGCCCTTCTCTACATGTCCAGCCTGCTGCCCGCCAAAATCTTTGCCATTGCCACCATCAACAAGTCGGGCTGGGGCACCTCAGGGCGCCGCACCATTGTGGTGAACTTCGTGGGGCTGCTGCCGGTGTCAGTGTGGGTGGCGGTGCTGCTGGGCGGGCTGGCCTACACTGCCTACAGCCAGGACCTCTTCAGCGAGACCGAGGTGGCCTTCCTCGTGTCGGGTGCCATCCTCTATGCCTGCTACTGGGTGGCCCTGCTCACCCTCTACCTGGCCATTGTTGCCCGCCGCTGCGGCAAGAGGCAGGAGCAGTGTGGGCTGGTCTTCACCGAGGTCTGACCGTGGGTCGGTCCCGTGCCGGGGTCATGCCGTGTGCCACGGCGGTCCCACATGTCAGGGTAACCACCCCCCGTCCCCTCTTCCCCATCCCGGAACCACCAGGTGCTGGGGTGATCCCACGTGCTGGAGTGAACACCCCCAGTCCCCTTTTTCCCAATCCCGGAGCTGCTGGGCAGCGCTGAGCGCTCCCAGCCCTTGGCATTTCTCATCAGATCTTGAAATCTTGCTTTTTTTCTTTCAGTATGTACATTTTTCCTACTTATTCATTTTTCCATCCCAAGCTGGCCATGGAGAAGCCGAGCCAGGGCTGCCCATCACCCAGCCAGGTGCTGCCAGCTCCATCCCAGCTGTGCCCTATGGAGCATCCCGGTGTGGAGCGCTGCTGGCCGCGCTCCCCACACCCCACCCCAGAATTCTCCGCCCTTCGGTGCTTTTTACAGGGATTTCAGTCCCACCTCCATGGTGCTACAGCACTTCCCACCCCCAGGACACACAGTCTCCGTCCAGCACGGTGCTGGCACTGCTGGCTGGTGCTGCCTCTGCCCACGGCTGCGTGCGGGCGCGTACCCACAGGGAGCCCCCCGGGCCTTTCGGGGGGTCTGGCTGCTCCAGGAGGGCAGCAGGTTCCTTCAGCTTTGCCAAAGAGCCAAGGGGGGGTCCTGGCATGGAGAAACTGGGAAAACTGGTGGGCTGTGTGTTGGCTGGTGTTGCTGGAGACCCTCTGGGGCCACATCGTGCTCTGGCCAACACACAGCCCCACCACTCCCACCCCGCTACCTTCCCAGCGGTGGGAAGATGGGGATTTAGGCAAGGTGCTTCCCAACTTTCCCCTCCCCAGGGAATCCACCTGTGGGTCCTTTTTTCAGGACTTGGATAAAAACCCCTTTCTACGACGGAGCTTTTAGCTGGTTTTTGTTTAATTTAATACAAGGTTTTTTAGAAGACTTTTGTAGCTCTTTGGTATTGTCGCAAATGGTTTGTAAATCTATTTATTTTTGAACCTGCCAGGGGGACTTTTTTTTCCATATTTCGGGAGGAAAAAGCTGGTTTTTATATCCTGATGGAGTTGTGGAAATAAAGACTTGAAGTGAGGACATATGGTGTGTTTTGGGGAGGGTCCCTCCTGACTTGAGGGAGGTTGGTCCCGAGTCCCTGCGTGGCACTGGTGTCCCTACAGCTGCAGGGAGGGGGTAGAAGGAGACACCTCCACCCTGGCACCTCCATGGATCCCTGGGACCTGCTGGACAGTGTGGACAGCCCCTGGGGTGGGACACTCCTCCCTGGGCTCACAGGATGTCCCTGTCTACCAGAAGCCACATCCCCTGGTGTGATCCACCACACAGGTCTGTGGCTAAGAGCTTGGTTGCTCTCTGAAAAGAGTCATTTTAGGGGGAAAAGTGACCCAGAAAGGGCTTTAGGTGCTCAGACACAGGAGCCAGCAGCCCTAGAGTCTCCTGTGCAGGACAGGGATGAAGTCCTGGATCTCCCCAAGTCCCTGCTGTTCTTTCCAGCAGCAGGTCACAGTTCATAGCCCCCATCCTTCCCCTCACACCTTCTTGGGCACGTGGGTGATGATGGGCTTGGGGCGGGTTTTGAAGAGCAGTTTGGTTTTGATGAGGGCAGTAACAGTGTAGTGGCCATGGGGGCCCGTGGGGCTGGGCTGGGGGGCTCCTCTCTGCTTCACCAGCACAGCAAACGGCTTCTCCAGCTGCACCACCTTCCCGTAGAGGATGTGGTGGCCCACGATGAGCACGGGAATGCCCTGGGGAGAGCAGAGGGTGAGGCCGGGCTGGGCTGTCCCTGGCAGGTCCCGGCGGTGTCCAGCCTCACCTCGCAGGTGTAGTGCAGGTCTCCCAGCAGGTTCCCGGCCAGGTCCCCGCTCTGCCGGGGCTCCACCTCGCCCTGCAGCTCCACCAGCACCCACTGGGCCAGGGCCCCCGTGCCACCGCTGTGGGACAGACAGTGGGGATGGTCACCCAGGCCCCAGCAGGAACAGGGGCCACGGGGACCGGCCCCACGGGGCTCACCTGGAGATGACGATCTGCACCATGCCGGGCCCTGCCAGGGGCTGCAGAGACACAGTCATGGAAGGGGGAGTGGGTGGGGGAGCAGGAGCCCCCGGCCCTTCCCCTCTGGGGGGTCCCAGGAGGAACTTCTGCCCCTGGGCCCCACAGACCCGCCATGCACAGACCCTGTTCTAGGCCCACAAATCCTGAGATCCATCCCCCGGGTCCCACAGATCCCCAGGCCATCCATCCCCCGGGTCCCGCAGATCTCCCCATAACGGGTCCATCTGCCCCCCCGGCCCCCATGCCCAGAGCCCAAACCCCCCCAGCCCCATCCCCTGCCCAGAAACCACCCCCCAGACCCCGAGCCCCTGCAGCCTGCCGCGGACACCGCAGGCCCCTAGGCCCGGATCCCTTCCGCGCGCCCCCCGCCCGGTTCCGCGGGGCGCTGGTGCCCTCCAGCGGCGCCGGTGCCGCGGGGACGGCCCGGGGCGGCCCGGCCGGCTCTCTCGGGCCGGATCCCTCCCGCCGCCCCGGCCCCGCTCCCGCACCCGCCGCCGGCAGCGCCCGAATCTCCCGCCGCGCCGCCGCTTCCGCTTCCGGCCCCGGGGCAGCTCCGGTTCCGGCGCGCCGCGCGCACGTGGGGCGGAGCGGGGCCGGCAGCGGCAGCGGAGCGGCGGCGGGGCCGGCGGAGCGCCATGGGCGAGTTCGAGGTGCACCGGGTGCGGTTCTTCGGGCTGGTGCCGGCGGGCGTGCGCTGCCTCGCCTGCCACCCCCGCGGAGCCCGCCTGGCCCTGGCCCGCACCGACGGCACCGTCGAGGTGTACAACTTCGCCGCCAACTACTTCCAGGAGAAGGTGAGAGTGCCGGCAGGGCCGAACCGGGGCTGTACTGAGCCGTACCGGGCTTTATCGAGCTTGTACCGGGCACGTACCGAGCCCGTACCGGGCTTACTTGGTCCTTCCGATCGGCACCGAGCGTGTGCTGGGCCCGTACCGAGCCGGGACCAGGCTTTGCCCGGCCCTAGGGATGTGCGGGGAGGCTGTGCCCGGCTGTGTGGCCCTGGCGGTCCGTGCCGTGCTCCCGGGTTCCCGTGATCCGGTTCTCTGCAGGTGATCCCGGGGCACGAGGCGCGCTCGGTGGAGTCGCTGTGCTGGGCGGCCGGGGAGCGGCTCTTCGGGGCCGGGCTCGGCGGGGACATCACCGAGTTCGACCTGTGCGGGCTGAGCGCGGCCCGAGGCGTCGATGGCGGCGGGGGACCCATCTGGAGCATGGTGGCCAGCGGCACCGGCACCCAGCTGGCGGTGAGTCCCGCCGGGAGCGGCTCCGGGGCGAGGGTCCCGCTGTGCCCCGCGCTCATCCCGACCCCCGCAGATCGGCTGCGAGGACGGATCCGTTAAGATCTTCCAAGTCGTTCCTGGGGGGATCCAGTTTGAGCGGAACCTGGACAGGCGGAAAGGTGGGTCCTGGCTGCGGTACCGTCCCTCTGTCCCTCCGGGTGTCCCGGTGACCGAGAGGCCGTGAGCCCACGGGCTGTCACACGGGAGCTTCCCTCCCCAGGCCGTGTCCTGTGCCTGTCCTGGCACCGCTCGGGCACTCACATCGTGGCTGGCTCCATCGACTTCTTCCGCGTGATCGACGTCGCTTCAGGTACCGCCTGTCCCGGGAGCGGCCCCATCCCATCCCCCGGGACCGCTGTCCTCCGGGGCATCCCCCGGCCACCCCCAACCTTCTCCCACTGCAGGCCAGACAGTGCAGAGGATCATGGTGAACCACCAGGTGGAGAAGGCCAAGCGCGAGTGCGTGGTGTGGGCCATCGCCCTCCTCTCCAGCGGCACCGTGGTCAGTGCCGACTCCTTTGGGAGGGTGCAGTTCTGGGACTGGGAGCAGGGCACGCTGGCTGAGTCCCACACCGTCAGCACCTCGGCCGCGCTCTCTCTGGCCGTGTCAGAGGTGGGTGACACCCCCAGTCCCCCCTGGCTGACAGGGAGCTGCTGCACTCGAAGCCTCCTGGCAGCGCCCTCCTGTTGTTCCCGGTCTGCTCCACAACCTCGTCCCGTTTTCCTCCGCAGAAGGAGGACAGCATCGTCGTGGGCACCTCGACCGGGGCCACCTACCAGCTGCAGCTGCTGCCGGTGAAGCTGGGCGGGCTGGAGAAATGCTGGGTGCGGACAAAGCCCTTCCAGTTCCACAGCCACGACGTGCGGGCCGTGGCGCACAGCTCCACCGCCCTCATCTCCGGGGGTAGGACTGCCGCTGGCACCGGGACTGGGCTGGATGTCCCCTCCCGGTCCCGGCTCGGCTGACCTGTGCTTGGCCTCCAGGCCTGGATGCCCAGCTGGTGATCCGCCCGCTGATGGAGAAGGTGCAGAAGAAGGGCTACGACGCAGTGCTCCGAAAATTCACCTTCCCCCACGTGAGTGATGCATGGACTGGGGTCTTGGAGCTGCTGGGGCTGGCAGGGCCGGATGTCCCTGCACCGCCAGGTGCCCTCATTGCCCCCAGTGTTCCTGGCCTGTCCCTGGGTCCCTCCTCTGTCCTGTCGTGTCCCCTTTCCTGGTACATCTGGAGGCTCCTGCTAAGGAGCAGTGGAGGTTGTCAAGCTGGTCTTGCTGGGTCTCCATCTCCAGGCTCCCATCCCACGGGACCTGATTTCCCTGCTCTCCCCCGCTGTGGAGTCTCCAGCACCCCAGGGCACTCCAGCTGTGCCCCAGCCCGTTGTGCCAGGCTGTGGGTCTGTGACATCCTGCCTGTTTTTCCACGCAGCGACGCCTCGTCTCCTGTGCCAGGAAAGCCCGGCTGCTCCTCTTCCAGTTCTCCCAGTACCTGGAGCTCTGGAGACTTGGCTCCACTGAGGAGACTGGTGAGTCACAGGTGCAGCTCTCTGCCGTTGGCTCCCTGGCAGAGCCCATGCTGGATTCCAGGATTGAGCTGTCCTGGGCCTCAGGGAAGGGTCTGGGTACTCCCCCAGGATCCACAGCTGCTCAAAGAGCC